TCTATAATTTTCCTAAATTCCTAAATTTTTTTCTTATTTTTTGTCCTTATGTGTCTCTAGGTTGTATGGTTTCATAAATCAATGTCACTAACCCTTTACAGATATGCACAATCAATCAATCATATGATGCAACAAGTGCCATATGACTAAGTGCATAGGAAGAGGTGAAGATTTCAAATGTTTCCGTTAACCCCTAACACATGCATTTGAAAACTCGCCCACAAAACAATTCCCCACTTTATTAACATAGAGATGTTATAATAAGATGGGCCCTTACCATAGCACCTAAGGTCAAATCCAAATTCAAGCTAAAATGACTAATTGATGAATGTGAAAATTGGAATAAAGAGTTACATGGAAATGATCTAAAGCTTGCATTTGATTTAGTTAATGTAACCCACATGTAGTCAAGCTTTGGTTTAAATTCCAATGAAGAAATGATTGGATGATTAGACATCAAACTCAAAGCATAATGATTTTTTAAAAATGCAAAGTTAACTATAGTTAGTTATGGCTTAAGCCAATATAAAATAATCAACTAGCTTCAAAATAACGATTAAAAACTTTTGAAAAATTTACTATATATAGGATATATCATGAGAACTAATGCAGTCAAATTTCAATTCAAAATAATACATATTAATGTAGTAATTAGAGAAATATGAAAAATCAAATTACTGGAATTATTCTCAAAATATCCATAATTAAAATTCAATCTTATTTCTGGTTTACATTATGTATTTGTAGTAATGAGTCATTGCTGGTTTTATATTATGACTATTGTATATATCATTTTAGGCTTAGACCAATGTGTAAATATTGAACGTATTTATGTTTTTCACTATTTATATTAATAAAATGAAATTAATAAGATATGGTTGATGTTTATGATATAAAAAGATTGAATTCTTACAAATTTAAATGTTGGGGCTTCATAGAAACCATCACACAACATTCCTAGTTGTGTAATACTTGTCATCCTCTGTAAATTGTCACTAGTCTACCCTCATTATTATTTGGTGCTTAGTATCACTAATGCCCATTTCCACTCGACATCATAGTTACATAACACTTTTCATTGCTCAACAAACATCACCACTCAACCTTCATTATCCAAACGCCCAACATTACTCAAAATCCCCGATTATATGATGTATGTCATTGCATGATGATCATTACTGCTTGAAATTCATTATTGCACTGTGTTACACTACTTAATAGTCATTAGATGTTCTTTGCCCCACAATGCACATACCACTTAATTTCTATAATCACGTGCTCTTTGTCCATTGATGCCTCTCATTGCTCAACATATATAGTCACTTTATGCTTATTGTGGCTCAAAATTCATAGTTCTCTCATGCCTATTGGCTAGGCATGTTAAAAAAGCTATTTAACTGGATAATCAGCTCATACTTGACTAATTTTTATAAGCTTATTTATTTAATGAGCTAAACATTATAAGGTTTTGCTCAATCATGCCCTATCCAATGATGACTTGACTACACACATATACATATAAACACTCATATTCATACAATTATATTTATATACACATCGTGATATCTATATTTTATAATTTAAACATAATTTTTAAGTAGACTTTAGGTTCATAAGCAGCTAGTGTTTGATTTGATAAGTTAATAATTCAAACAAACATAAAAAAACGGATCATTTTGTTAATGTTGTCAAGTCAAACATCACTCATGTTCTATAAATTTGTCTTGTTTAAACCATTATCATACCCCTGATGTCCATTGTTGCTCATATTATTAGTTTGGTAACATTTATCATCCTCTAATGTTTTTCATTTCTCAACATCTACAATCACATGATGTATGCCATTCCTCAACACCCAACATTGATGTACATAGTCATTTACGACTCATCGCTACTTGATGTCCACGATTGCTAAGTGTACATTATTCCCCAATCTGATCATTGCCCAACATCCATCTTCTTTCTACATTGATCTTCATCCAACTTTCATAATTTTTTTGATGTGCACTGTCCCTTGACACCCATCGTTGCTCAAAATTCATCAATTGTCCTACAATCATCAGCAAACAATCTGAATATGAGCAATGTTTACTATATATCGTCACCACGTCACATACCAACTCCCAATTTCTTAGCCTCCTCCCATTATATCTATAAATGATCGCATCAATTTTCCTTGATCACTCACTAACCTTCAAATTTCCTATCACTAATCCTTTCTTGAGAGTAATTTATCAAAACCCCTCATTTAAACATTTATACATCGCCTATTTTTTCTATATTGTTTCTCTAATTAGCGCGGATATCATTTGTAGTTAATAAGATCAAATATCTTTTGCTACTAGCTAGATTTTTCACACCCATGTATTTATGATGAATTTATATATATAGAAAGTTTATTAATCAATATTAAAATTAGAATTATTCGAGCAGATCAAAATCAAATTAAAGCTTCATTTGAGTGACTTTCTTACTGCTTCTTAAAGCAATTTTTTAGCATAAAAATTAAAATAATTGTTATAGAAACGGTAAAAAAGTCATCCCAAACGAAGCCCAAATTTTGACTTCAATAAAATTTAAATTTTTTGTAAGTAATATTTAGATTAATTAAGATAAATTTGCATATATATTATATATGTAAGACTCAAATTTAAAAGACCTTTTAATTGATAGTCAAGTAAATTGTGAACCTGTTGCCAGTGAGTAGCCTCGCTAGGTTCCGCCGGTTGGGAACCCCCATCCCGGATTCGAATCTCTTCTACTATGGTGTCACCTCTTTAGTTGGGCAAAATAAGTATGGGCCTGATGCTGGTGGATAGTCTCACTAAGTTCCACCAAAAGATTAATTATGCCGTAAAACACTTCCTTCAAAATGACAGCAATTAGATACACCCATAAAAAAAAATGACAGTCAAAGCCCCCAAATTAAACAGACCGAGATGAGCGCTGTTAAAATTTAAATAGAAACAAATATAGGCAATTTACGATCGAAGTTGACTTGGATTGTATTAAGCGACTTTGACACCAATGCTCATGCCTCCCTGCGATTGCCAAGTTTGTGGTCGAGAAGGATAGGACGTCTCGAACCAAGCAAGCAGAAGACACAAAAATACCGAATCTTCCCCTCCGTCATCTCCCTCTTTCCCTTATCTGCCTGCGGGAGATTTCTATCACTGAGAAACAAGTGAAAGCGAGAGAGAGAAGGGATTACAGGAGCGAGAGTCGAAGATGGGGATACTGGAGGAAGCTCACAATGTGCGGGTGGTGGGGAACGGCGAGAAGGTTGTCGTCTTGGCCCATGGGTTCGGAACTGATCAGTCTGTGTGGAAGCACCTGTTGCCTCACCTTATCGAGGGCTATCGCGTGGTGCTCTTCGACAACATGGGCGCTGGGCCGACCAACCCCGACTACTTCGACTTCGAGCGCTACTCTACAATTGAAGGCTACGTGTTGGACCTCCTCGCTATCATGGAGGAGCTCCGAATCAAATCCTGTGTCTTCGTCGGACACTCCGTCTCCTCCATGATCGGAGCCATCGCCTCCATCTCCCGACCTGACCTCTTTGAGAAGATCGTCATGTTGGGCGCTTCACCCAGGTAAGGCGACTTTAACCTGCTCGATGTTTTGACCCTGATAGATTTTTGCTTCTGTTGATCGATAAAATAGCAGTAGATTTCATCCATTGGTGCGTGTCGAATTGATTGCTTGCAGTACTTGGACCAAAAAGTGGGTAAGAATTCGACTGTTGGTTAAAGCGATTGAGAAACTAATCATTTTTACTTTGTTGTTCTACTTTTCTATTTGAGTTTATATTTACTTGGATCTGTTACATGGGTAGATTTTCTCTTTTTCTTTGTTTTGTTTATTTTTTTTTTTTGTTACTGTACGATTGATTGTCGTTGGGTTTATATAGGTTAAATTTCGGTTTGTTGTAAAATTGTTGATGCTTGTCGCTTTGGTTCATGGTTTAGGAATTTAGGGCACGAGGCCCTTTCTCGCAATTAGGTTGGATTAATTGGAAATTTTATGAAACTCCTATTCTTAATTTCTGGATTAGATTAAATATAAATAGTTAGGAGATTTTTTTTGTTACAAGTTGGATTTAATCAAATTAGTATAGTAAATTTTAAAAACTCATTCGTAACCTTAAAATCTGAAAATTATTTGACATAATAACTACTAAGTATTATTAAATCCTGCTAAACTATTTGATTATTTATTTTTTTAGTTTAAATTTATGAGAAAGAAATTCATAAATTCACAAAATTATAGAAATTCTATGTAAACTGTGAGATTTGATAAATTTTAATTTAACTGAGCTATCAAAATATTAGATTTATTTTCTTAAAATGCTATTGAAAATGATCAAGATAAATTTTTCTTAAATCCTACATAATAAATAGGATACAAAACAGTTCCTTAATGTTAAGTGATGCAAAACATATCTCTTATCCTCACTTTTCTGCATCTCTTTGCATCTATTTCTATTAGCAGCCGGGTTACATGGGTTAAGAAACAGAGAGAGGGTTGTAGAAGCTCTAATATGAGCAATATCGTAATATGATGTGAAATACTGTTATGTGTGGAATTTGATTGTGTTGATCAATCATATTGTTATGCTGTTTCGGACCTCAAAATTTGTCGTTTACACTTGGGGGTGTGGGGGGTTTACCCTGGTTTCATTCAAAAAAAATTTAAAGTACAACACCTTGTCGTTGTGTTCCCGAGTGCTCCAACGGCAAACGACAGAGAGCAGAGCACCACATCGATCGAGATATGGCACCGCAGCGATCAAGACAGAGACTGAGCGCTGAAGCGCCGAGTTTTTGAGCGCTGCAGTATTGTCAAACAGAGACTGGGCGCTGCAACACCCCAAACTGGCACTGCAACGTTGCGTTGGGCGCTGCGAGACAAACTGAACAATTATTTTTCTCATTTTTCTCAAGGGTTGCGTTCCTTGGGGGTTATAAATTACTTTCTCTTGTATTTTCTATGCATGTAGACATTGAGAATAGTGCATGTGAAGAAAGGAAAGGAAAAAAATGAGAGAGAAGAGTGATATGTACTTATTTCTCCCAATTTTCATAGTGGATTTCTTAGTGTGGTGTAGCTTCGTAGTTTTTTTTCCCTATTTTGATTTTTTCCACATTTTTTCCACATTATTAGTTTTGGACTTTAAGATAAAGGGGCATAAAA